TTGAGCATCGACATATTCCGCAGTGTAAAACTGTTCTATCAGTTTTCGCTTTTGCGGAACAATCATGGAGGGGTGGGGGGAAGAAAAAAAAGAGCCTCTAAAAGCCTCAACTTATCAACATTTGTCAATGAATAGATTATAAAAGTAATTGAGACAAAGAAAAGAGAAAAAGAAGGGTGGTATCTATGAAAAGTAAAGGTAAAAAGAGTGTTGTTTTAAAACAAAACTGGAAATTGTTGTTCATTTTTTTTTTCTTTTCATTTGCTTCTCTCTCTGTCTCTCTTTTTCCTTTGGTAACAATGGCATTGCTACAGAATTCAAAACTCCTCAGAAACACAACAACGGTTTGATTTAAAAAAAAAACTTTTATTGAACGAAAACAAAAAAAAAAAAAATACAATTTTTTTTGCCATTTTGTCCCGATCGGAAATGATCGACATAAACAGAAAGTTATCCAAGAAAACAGCAGAAAAAAAAACAAAGTTTTTTGCTGAACAAAGTTTTGTTGTCTAACAGCTGATGAATAGATATAGTCGGGCAAAACTGAAAAGCTCGTTGTTGTTAGTCTCCAAAAAGAACAACAGAAGGAACAAATTTCTGCATTGCACAACAGTACTATATTAATTTTTCAAACTTTTCCTCTTTGTCACTTGTCTCTTTTTCGCTGTGTCAATTGAGGCAATCGTAAACCTTCACATAGAATAGTCTCAAAAAAAATAGAACTGGGAAAAAAAAAATGACACAAAAGTCAACGTACAAGCATATTTGAAGTGGTGAATAACTATATACAAAAATCAACAACTACACCGACAGATCCACTACAGCAACATACTTAGCAACTGACTTCCACTCCATTATCTCCAATTTTTTTTTTCCCCACTGCTTTACTATTCTTTCTTTTACTGCCGCTTCATACAAAGTTTTCTAAACTCCAAAATAAACTAACCTTTACAGAGTCTTGGCTTTCTGCTCTTCTGTTGCTAAAAATATATAAGCAAAACAAAAAAAGAGCGCTTTACAAGACCGATTGGGTGGTAGATTTTGGAAATTCCTTTTGTAATAACAGACAAACGAATGATGTCAGTACAGACGAATAGCCACCAACCTCTTCCTCTTCCACCGCTGTTTCCTCCCTATTTTGCAAAATCGTATTATATTGGCCCCCAGAACGAGTTCGATAACAGAGACAAACACGAAGCCTACCAGAAAATCAGACGATGAAAAAAAATTATTCAACCAATTTTCTCCACCACTTCTCACCGACTGTTAAATACTTTTTGTATTTTTATTTTTTATCCTTATCATCTCTGAAGAGTTAAATGAAAACGAATGAAAAAAAAAAGCAAAAATTGTATCAGTAAACATCCAAACCAAAAATTTACCATTTCTAACTCAACTGCTGTGTAAATGCCATAATTTCATATAGCAGCCTCTTATTACTGCTTATAAATGTACTGTCAATTTAGCAGTAAACTTTAGACATTAGTTTTTTTTCCCTTGTTTGCAATTTATATCTATAAATATTACTCTGTTAAGTTTTCAAAAGACGAAAAAAGGATGAGACAGCATTGCTAAGCTTTGTAAATAATGCTTCCAAAAAATTTTCAAAACAAAAACAGCTTTTAACAGCACTATATAAATTTGCACTATAGGTCACATCAGTGGATCCACAACTTGAATAAACTGCTCAAAACTATAACTTTAAAAAGATATGGTCCACAAAGTGTGTATAAATTTTAAAAAAGCCACAAGCAAATTGAAAAGTTGCATTTTTGTCGTCTCACTACAGTTTTTGTCGATGATTACAAAAAAAAAAA